TGCTGCATGTGCCTCGCTCGCTCCACTCCGAGACATTGGCTTGGCCTGGCTGCGGCTGATGCTCCGCATCCTAATGGGCTCCAGGAAGAGAAGGGGGCGCATTTAGCATGCTTCCCAATGGGGGAGATGGCATCCCCTCTTCCTCCTGGAACCCATTAGGATGCAGAGCATTGGCCATAGCCAGGCTGGCCAGTGTCTTGGGGCGGAGAGCAAGTTGCGCATCTCCCCAAGCGACTGCGGTGTGCGCAGCACCAACAAGCGCCGGAAAAAGCGCCTACAAGATGAGGAAAGTACAGGGGCGCTTTGCTCCCGCTCTGGGAGCAAAGTGTCCACATGGAACGAGTCTCCATCTCACCAGCCAGCGGTGGGTTTAATCGACAGGGAGCCACAGATGGAGAACAAGAGTCGCATGCGGCTCCATAGCTGCAGGTTGCCAACACCCAGTCTAAATGATGTGAGAATGTCGCATGCTCTACTCTGCTCTCCTTTAAAAATACAAACCAAGGTTCTTGGAAGATGAGGTTTTACATTAGCAACCATCTGTGCACCGGCCTTCTCTGGTGCCTTATGAAAGAGTAACGCTCTCCTCCTCTCTCCCTGATTTACAACAGGTGGCAGCTGTAACCCCGAGTACTGGAAGGAGAGGAAGGACCAGCTCCTTGCAGCTTTACCCGATGACCTTCTGGAAGCCTACGGAGAGGAGTATCTTGAGGAGATCAACAGGCAGTTTGTGGATTTCATGAAGATGGCTGTGGAGGACCTCAGCTCGGTGGTGGACAGCATCACTGACGGCCTTCTTTCCACTAAGCCTCTGCTGAAATATTACCCAGGGAGAGGCTTGTGGCTCATGTACTTCATCCACCATTATCTCCCTCACACAGTCCGGGACCTTTTCCTAAAAACCTTTTTTATCAATCCAAAACCGCCACAGGGATTGTGTCCCAAGGCCTGCCACACACAGAAGCTGTTGTGAGAGCTGCTCGGGATCTTTTGCACCATCGCCAGAGAATCTCTGGAGAATGCTTCCTTTTTATTCCACCTGTGTCCAGCTAACTAGAAGAGGCATTTGTTCCTGTAGAAACAGGGCAGGGCAATTCGCTCAGTCCTGGGTTGCCTCTCACAATGACTTTCCTTGGGGGGATGGGAAGCACGGATGCCCTGGTCCTCTACACAAGGCCCGAGACACCTGGGTGGGGATAGAAGCAGCATCCTTTCTAAACGACACCTACCTGGACTTTCTCTCTCCCCCCATCCCGTCCCCCAAAATGTGCCAAAGGAGAGGTCAGAAGCTGCTGCTAGCCAAAACAAAGAGCTTCTGGGCATCTCTAGTCAATCATATACCTCCTCAAAAGTTGCCTCAAGGAAACTAAGCTACCTTCTCTTGCCACGTGATGTGGCAAGGCCTCAAAGTCGCAGCCTTCGGCTTCTTGATGAGCCAACCTCCTCTGTGGCTTGGGCCAGTTCTCCTCTTCCACTGCAGCCCCCATCATTGTGCAGAGACACATCAAGGGGACCTCACCAGTGAGCCAATGGTCTGCCATGTTTTTTTCAAAAGGAGCACAACTGTATTGTTACTTAGTTAAATAAAAAAAATTTCATTATTGGATTAGAGGTTATGTTTTACTGGGAACCATACAGATACTGTTGGGTTCAGGCCAGTGGTTCATGGCTGCAAACCCACCCCCTAAAAAGCCAGATAAACGGTGCCCCCCCCCCCCATTAGCTGGCTCCTCAGAACAAGGTTCTTTCATCCTCTGGAGGCTTCAAGGAAGCGCCTGAAGCCTCGGGGGGGGCTGTTTTTGCCCTCCCCAGGCTCCTAGAAAGCCTCTGGAGGGCCAAAAAAGGGAATCAAACAGGACCAGTGCCCAATCTGGGGGGAGGTAGCCCTGGACTCCTGCTCAGAGCAAGTGGCACTCATGGTTAGGAAGGCCTTTGCACATCTTTGGGTGGTGCACCAGTTCCATCCATACTTGTACTGGAAGGCCCTACTCAGAGGAACTCATGCCCTTGTACCCTCCAGGTTAGACTACTGTTATACACTCTACCAGGGGCTGCCCTTGAAGACCATTAGGAAACTTCAATGGGTGTACAATGCAGCTGTGTGGGTAAGTAACTGGTGCCACCCATACGGGACCTAACACCACTTCCTGCGTGAGCTGCATCGGCCACCAGTGTTTCTGGGTGCAATTCAAAGGCTGCTAGTTACCTACAAAGCCCTGCCTGGCTAGGGACTGGGGTACCTGAGAGATTGCCTTTTCCCCAGTCTCTGCCCATCCCAGGTCATGCTGCAGATCCCATGCGCCGAAGGGCGTCTGCAGTGGCTCCTGCTCTGTGGGACATCCCCCCTTCGAGAGCGGAAGGGCCCCAGCCCTCTTAGCCTTTCGCCAAGCTCTAATGGCCTGGCTCTGCTCCTGAGCCTGGGATGCTACGTGATTCCCAGCTGCATTCTTCACAGGCTAAGGATCTGGCTCTTGCGTCTCTCGAGTTGGAGGTTTTAATGCTTTTTTACTGGTTTTATTGTTTTAAAGATTTTTTTAAAATTTTTAACTGTAATACTGTGCAAACGTTTTAGGCAGGTGTGAAAAAATGTTGTAAACAAAAAACACTTTCAGAAATATAAATAATGATTGTTTATTTCTGTCGATTTTCAAAATGCAAAGTGAGCGAACAAAAGAAAAATCTAAATCAAATGAATATTTGGTGTGACCCACCCTTTGCCTTCACAACAGCAACAATTCTTCTAGGTCCACTTGCAGAGTTTTTGAAGGGATTCAGCTGGCAGGTTGTTCCAAACATCTTGGGAGAACTAACCACAGATCTTCTGTGGATGTAGGCTCACATCCTTCTGTCTCTTCATGTAATCCCAGACACACTCAATGAAGTTGAGATCATTGAGATCATGGCTCTGTGGGGGCCATGCTGTCACTTCCAGTACTACTACTTCTTCTTTACGCTGAAGTTAGTTCTTAATGACCTTGGCCATATGTTTGGGGTTGTTGTCCTGCTGCAGAATAAATTTGGGGCCAATCATACGTCTCCCTGATGATATTGCATGATGGATAAGTATCTGCCTGTATTTCTCAGCTGATGGCACTGCTGGACATCTTCCGATTTCGAAGGGCAATAAGCTTGATGTGTCTTTCATCTGCTGCACTAAGTTTCCTTGGCCAACCACTGCGTCTACGATCTTCAATGTTGCCCGTTTCTTTGTGCTTCTTCAAAAGAGCTTGAACAGCACATCTTGAAGCCCCCTTTGAAATCTTTGCCTGGGAGAGACCTTGTTGATGCAGTATAACTACCTTGTGTCTTGTTGCTGTGCTCAATCTTGCCATGACATGAAACTGTCTTTCACAACCTCACCTTGGTAGCAGAGTTTGGCTGTTCCTACACAGCTGTTTCTGTTTCAGTTCATGATTGGGTATCAACCTATGTGTGACATTGATGATCATTAGCACCTGTTTGGCATAATTGGCTGATCATACCATACACCTGACTATAATCTTACAA